CATTAAAAATATGTTTTCAATGAGTGTTTTCCATTTCGTTTATATTTTCGAAAACTGCATTTATTGAAGAAATATTTGTAAAAAAAAAATTTGTTAGATCTTTTCTGTGACTTACAGCAACATTTGTAACAGCGCGTACGCATCGTGAACCATGCACGCTCACCGCCTATGCACGCAACGTGTTCACTAGAAAGCGCGTACAGGGCAACTAACAATTGGCTCATATTTCCGACTTCTAACGTAACCTTATATAATAATGATGTCATTTATGGTATTTTTAATGAATTTTTAGGTTAAGTTTTGCATCGCAGGTATGTGTTAAAATAATTTCATTAATTCCATTTTTTTGGAATTCACATACAACATTATTACCAGGGAACGGATTTTTAGGACCTAAAAATCTGCAAAAAAGGGAAAATAGGCAGGAAAAGGCACTAGAAGGCAAAATAAGGTACTAAATAAAGACAAAAACCCAAAAATAGTCAAAAAATACATTTATTTTAGAAATGTTTTTTTACAAGTAAAAAGAGAAAAACTATGAACTGTATAGTTTCATTATATCAAAAATTTGTACTTTGAATCTTTGACTATTTGCTCCATTTGAGTTTTAACTCGCAAAATCTTAATCTATAGTTGTAGTAACATTGAACCACAAGATGCTTTTTGTAGTTTTCTGGCAGCATTTTTATTAGATGTTCGCGCAGAAAAGCCTTAAATGCAGTGTTGCCACAAAAAGAGTACCAAATTCCTCAAAAACAAATGAAAAATAGTCAAAATCCGAACAAATTACTAAAAATTTTCTTATTACACATATGAGTATTGTGTACTGCATACTATTTACAGTATAAAAACTAATTACATTCTCCAACTCAATTGGTACATTTGTTATTTTTTATGCCTTGGTTTGTATATAATATTGCTGCAACCATATCAGTGCTCAATCTGGTCCTCAAGCAGTGTTGCTAACTTTAGATTTTCAAAAAGCACCAAAAACTTGTGAAAAAAGCGTTTTACCACACTAAAAGCACCAAATTTTTTTGCATCAAAGGATGCTTTTTTCATAACGGTTTGTATTTAACAAAAGCAAAAAAATTAACAATATTTACATACATAAATCAATACACGAAACTTTTTCGCTCATAACGATTGAATAGCCTCTACACATGCTATGATGACTCATGCTTATGACGTCGTACCGAAGTACTGCACATTAAAGCTGGTATATCTCGAGAAAAAAATCTAATCGCAACAAACGAAAATGATGTCCTAGGTAGAAATGAGCAAAAAATTTGATGTTTTCATTATATAACCTCAAATATCGCCAAAAACCGTGTTTTTGGCACTTTGGTGTTAGGATATCTAAAAATTGTAGTGCTAGAGCAATTGTGCGGCCAGATTTGGATTCAGCACCCAGAAACGATGTGTTTTACTCAGGAGGTAACAAAAAATCAAAATTTTTACAAATAATTAGAAATGAAAAAAATAAATACTTAACTTACCTGCGTACTACATTTTCAACGCGAATGGAATTCAACAAGGTGGGTTTGCAACTTCAGCTTTTTATCAATAATGGTTGTATTTTAGTGCATTTAAATTTGTAGATTCTGGTAAATTCAGTGCTGCCACAGCTTTAAATATTTCAGGTTTTTACTATCTCGGAGTAATTTTAGTTCAGAAAAAAGCACTAAAAGAGGCACTAAGCACTAAATAATTTTTTTTGGCGTTTTTATTTTCAAAAAGCACTAAATCTAGTGTTTAAAGCACCAAGTTGGCAACTATGTCCTCAAGTCAGTCCTACATATTTATAAACTACTAAATACACGTTATGCTGAAGCATTATAAAAGGACTATATTAGTAATGCAGATATAATTTTTTATTTTTTTTTAATTGGGAAACTTATATGAACCTGAAGATTCTTTTAATTCAAAAACTTTCTTCCTATAATTTTCTGGATCTAATGAATCTGTTCTCTCCATTCGTTACAGAGATTTTGCAAGTTCAAATTAAGTTGAAAATATAACGATGGAATGAAAAAAAATATCGATAACATTTTGAATATTTATTATTTACACCACACAAGCGGCTTGACAAACCGAGCGAAATATCCCTTTGCTTAAAGCTAATAATGTTGGGTATGGTGGTGTTTGAGGGTTTGACAAGCCGTTTGAGGGAAATGTGAACAAAAATCTATTTTTTTTTATCTTTTGGCCACCATGTTGACGTTTGATCAAACCGCTTACGTTGTGTATGATTAGGGACACGATATCGAACGGAAAGTATCGATATGGTACTCATTTAAAGTATCGCTGTAAAAATATCGGGTACCCATTAATATCGGAATAAAAAGACTTGATATCCCAATAGTGACTAGAAGTTTGCAAACGTCCGAGTGTATTTCTGCCAAGAAAAACAGCTTCTGCTAAAAAGATACAATCGCCGTTTAGAGTCGGCGTAAAACAGTAGGGACCCCCTTTATGGCACAACACCAAGGCCACGCGGCAAATCGGAGGAGAAGCTCGGCCAAACACTAACATATTGTGTAAACGCCAATCTATTATTATTTTTACAGGTAGAGATGTTGACTTAAAACACCGAGGCCATGCAATCTAAACTATAGTACAAATTTCTCTTCTTTAAAGCCCAATTTATATCGCGAAGAATTGTCAGTCACATGCAGCGTCATTGCGTAAGTCGTAAATTAGGCTAAATTGTACGACTCGACAACATTGGCATTGTCTACTGTAGTGCCGAAATAAGTAAACGACGAAAAGCGTCGGAAACTATACAATACTGCCAAGTTTTTCAGTTTTAATACACTAAACGAGTGGAAATTTTAGGCAATGACGTGAAATTATCTATATGATTCGACCCTCGAAAAACGACTTGCATTCTACGCGACTCTCGCAATGAGGGTGATTATCTTATTAATTTGAGTTTTAGACATTCGATACGATACTAGGGTCCTGGTACTCGATTCCAAAAAATATCGCTTTAAAACTATCGAGTAAAAAATATCGGTAAAGAATGCCAAAAGTATCGATATGGTATCGTATCGTATCGAAATTCGTGTCCCTATGTATGATAAAATCGCCTCATTCGCAACAGAATTTTTACCGAATGAGGACGCAAGAGAGAAAAATCGAAGAACCGGAAGAAAAATAAAATTCTTTGCTTGAACGAGCCATGTTTGCATGGTTTATGGCGAAATGGGAAAAGTGGGTTTGAAGAATGTTTGACATGCCGCTTGTCTGGTGTATTTCGCTCTTTATAAAACTTCGGATAGCTTTTTGTTAAAAAATTTGCAGAGC